CTCCAGCCTGGCAACAGAGCAAGACTCCATCTCAAAAAAAGAAAAGAGTGCACTTGACTTTTCTGGCAACCATATCCAGTTTTTCACACAGAGGTGGTCTGAGTTTCAATGGAGAGAAATAGTTTTGCAGAACACAAGGGTAAGGTGACTAACTGCCAGCGCTGCCACATCTCTAGTAACACGTATGGCAAAAAATGAGGATGAAAGAAAAGGGCTGGCAAATGCTTTCTGTAAAGGACCAGATGGTAAATAATTTAGGTTTTGCTGGCCAGACATTTCTGTAGCAAAGACTTGACTCTACCCTGGTGGCACAAAAGCAGCCATAGACAGTATATAATAAACGAACAGGGATGTGTTGCAATAAAACTTTATTTATAGACCCTGAAATGTGAATTTCATAGGATTTTCATGTGTCATGAAATTTTTTTTCAAGCCATTTAAAAAATGTAAAAACCTATGACTTTATGATAAGTCATAATGAAAGAAGCCAGCCACAAAGGACCACATACTGTATGACTCCATTTATATAAACTGCCCAGAATAGGCAAACCCACAGAGAAACAAAGTAGATGAGTGGTTGCCCAGGGCTGGGAGAGATAGAGGAATTTGGGGGTGAGGAGTTTCTTTTGGGGGTGATGAAAATGTTGTAAAAAGTGATTGTGGTGATGGTCACACAACCATGAATATACTAAAAGCACTAAATTACACACTTTAAATGGGTGAGTTGTGTCAGGCACAGTGGCTCACAGCTGTAATCCCAGCACTTTGGGAGGCCGAGGTGGGCAGATCACTTGAAGTCAGGAGTTCAAAACCAGCCTGGTCAACATGGTGAAACCCCATCTCTACTAAAAATACAAAAAAAAAAAAAAAAAAAAAAAAAAAAACCAACCAGTTGGGTATGGTGGCAGGTGCCTATAATCCCAGCTACTTGGGAGGCAGAGTCAGGAGAATTGCTTGAACCCGGGAGGTGGAGGTTCCAGTGAGCTGAGACTGAGCCACTGCACTCCAGCCTGGGTGACAGAATGAGACTGTCTCAAAAAATAATTAATTAAAAAAAAAAACGAGTGAGCTACATGGTATGCAAGTTATACCTCAATAAAGCTGTGTTTAAAACTGTGAAAAACATTCTTGGTTCACAGGCCATAAAAAACCTGCCTAGGCAGACGAGATCTGCGGCTTCTGCTGGTGGATGGTGGGGTCTGGCTATGGACTCCATCTAATTCCTAGCCTGGTACCCCAACTCATTCCATGTCTGCTCCCACTTCCGCCCTCCATCTAATTCCTAGCCTGGTACCCCAACTCATTCCATATCTGCTCCCACTTCTGCCCTCCTCCACCTCCAGGTCTCTGAATGCTACCTGTCCTCTGATGCCCCTTCTTCCATGAAGTCTTGCCTAACTCTCCTAGGCATGTTGTTGGCGGTCACTTAATGGACACCTACTATGTGCTAGACTATGTACGTTACTAGACTAGGTGCTAGACTATGCACCTACTATGTGCGTTAAGAATGCTTTTCCATAATTATTCAATTTAAAGCCATCATCACAACAACCTAGAGGGCATTACCCCATTTTACAGACGAGGAAACTTGAGACCCGAAGATCAAAAAAAACTAGCTCAAGGTCACTTGCTGGTGAGTGGCAGAGCTGAGATTCAAACTCCGGGCTGAGGCCTGAGCATGTTGATCTGTTCTGTACCCGAAGGACTGACAGCACCTACAGGGCGGGTCAGTCGTTGACCCAGGTGGCGCCACCCCAGTACCAACCTGCAGGAGCTAAGAATGAATGAAGGGTCGCTGGCAGAGAAGAGGAAGTCGGACATTGGAGAAGGGGCCAGGCCTTGTTCGACTCGGGGCCGAGGGGCTTCCAGGACCCGGGACAGGAGAGGAGGGAGCGAACATCGCTGAGCGCACAGCTCGACCCCGGGCCGAGCTTCCCGAGGGTGCCGGTGGGGCCCAGGTGAGGCTGATCCTCACGGCGATACCGGGGCGCCGGCTAAACGAAGAGGCCCTGGGGCCGGGCCAGTCGGACAGGGGTGGGGGGCTTGCGGGTGGAGACGCCACCCGGCTCCGAGCGCGTGGAAACAGACACGGGCGGAAGCGGCGAGGGGGTGGCCAGGGCGGGGTCTCGAGGCCGCGGCTAGGAGGCGCCCACCTGACCACCCGCCCGCCGCCCGGCTCCGCGGCCAGCAGGCCCCGCCGCCTTCGGCCTCCGCAGTCGAGCCGGGCCGCACCAGGTACCTGGAGGGTTGTCGTTGTCATTTCATCTCCTGGGTCCGCCCCACACCCGCGGCGCTGCTTGCGGCCTCGGTTCGGCCCCGGGGAGCCGATATACTGGGTCCGGCGCGGGGAGCCCGGCGGTGGGCTCAGAGCGCCGAGCGTGGGTAGGGCGGCCGCTCGCAGCGGGAGCTGAGTCCGAGGGCCAGCGAGGAGCGCGGCCCAGAGCGGTCGGGCCCGAACCAGGCGTCTGCCCCCTAGCGGCTAGAGCCCGCACTGCAGGCACCGCTCCCTCTCGCGGCTGGGCGGCCCCGGCGAAGAAGGCAGGAGGCGGGACCTGAGGCGGTGTGGACAGGGGGCGAGGGCCTGCGGCGACGGGGTGGGACTAGGGAGAGACAGACAGCGGGCGGGCCAGGGGGCGGGGGCGGGGGCGGGGTGGGTGGGACAAGGCCTGGAGGGACGTACGTTCTTAGGGCGGGGCCAGGGGCGGAGCGGGGTGGAATCCGGAAATCCTGATCCTGCTTGGAGTAACATCGCCCATCGGGCAGTTTTATTGGCACAATAAACCGAACTTATCAGAGCTTTGGTTTCTCCATGTTTAATAGTGCACAATCATAATTAGCACCTGCCTTGTCTGGCTTTTGTGGGGAATAAATAAGCTAACTATTGTAAACAGTGTGTGCCCCACACTGGGGGCTCAAATCCCTGGTGGGATGTCGGAGACTTCGAAGACAGTTTTGTTTTGCTTTTTATTTATATTTATTTGTTGAGACGGAGTCTTGCTCTCTCGCACTGGTTGGAGTGTAGTGGGGCGATCTCGGCTCACTGTAACCTCCGCCTCCCAGGCGATTCTCCTGCCTGGAATTACAGGGGTGCACACCTGTTGTATGCAGCGTTGTGTGCTAGTTTCTAGGGATACAATGATCAAAACAGTTCTAGGGCTGGGTGTCGTGGTTTACGCCTGTAATTCCAGCACTTCGGGAGGAGGCCGAGACAGGACTGCTTGAGCTCAGGATCAAGACCAGCTTGGGCAACATAGCGAGACCTCTTCGCTAAATTAAAACAAAACAAAAACGGACCAGAGACAAGTGATTCCATTTGTCCACAAGTCTATCCTGTGAGAGAGAAAAAATGGAGAGCAAAAATACCCAAGTTGAGGTTGGGTACGGGGGCTTATGCCTGTACCAACACTTTGGGAAGCCGAGCCAGGCAGATTGCTTGGACCCAAGAGTGCGAGAACTTGGGCAACAGGTGAAACCCATCGCTACAAAAATTAACTTATCTGGGTGTGGTGGCGCACACCTGTAGTCCCAGCTACTTTGCAAGCTGAGGTGGGAGAATTGCTGCGGTCTAGGAGGTCGAGGCTGCAGTGAGCCGTGATCACACCACTGTACTCCAGCCTGGGCAATGAGCAAGATCCTGTCTCCAAAGCTGGGAAAAAATACTGGCACACCTGAATCTCTTTCCATAAAATGCTAATTAAATACAAAGGAGAGGCTGGGCGTGGTGGCCCACGCCTATTATCCCAGCACTTTGGGAGGCTGAGGCTAGCGGATCTCCAGAGGTCAGGAGTTCAAGACCAGCCTGGCCAACATGGTGAAACCCCGTCTCTTCTAAAAATACAAAAAAAAAAAAAAAATTTGCTGGCCATGGTGGCGGGCGCCTGTAATCCCAGCTACTTGGGAGGCTGAGGCAGGAGAATCGCCTGAACCTGGGAGGCAGAGGTTGCAGGTAACAGACACCGCGCCCACGCCATTGCACTCCAGCCTGGGGGACAAAAGCAGAACTCCATCTCTAAATAAATAAATACGGCTGGGCGCGGTGGCTCACGCCTGTAATCCCAGCGCTTTGGGAGGCCGAGGCGGGCAGATCACGAGGTTGGGAGATTGAGACCATCCTGGCTAACACGGTGAAACCCTGTCTCTACTGAAAATACAAAAAATTAGTCAGGTGTGGTCAGCTACCCGGGAGGCGGAGACAGGAGAATCACTTGAACCCAGGAGGTGGAGGCGGAGGCGGAGGCTGAGGCTGCAGTGAGCCGAGATCGCGCCACTGCACTCCAGCCTAGGCAAGAGACAATAAACAAAAAATTAAAAAAATAAATACAAAGGAGAAAACAAGTAAGACACTAGCTTGACTAGGACAACAAAAGGAACACCCCCGGTGGTGGGACACGTGGCCCTCGTGTCTCCCGACATGATACCCTGAGAAGAGCATGGCATCATGGCATTCCTGCCAAGAGGCTATATGACACAACCTGGTTGAGAGGGGGCACTGGACACAGTCAGCTTGAGGGCTGTGCTGCAGAATGAAAGCCCTGTTGCCCATATGAAAGCCCATATGCTGAGACTCAGGCATATGAGAATACCGTGAGGCAGAGGAACATTCCAGACTGAAGAACTGATGAGACATGACGATGAAAAGCAAGAAAGTGGTACTGGCCAGGATCCTGGGCCAGAGAGGAAAACAGGGCATGGCCAGGATGGCTGGCATCATTTGAATGGGGTCTATGGAGTGAGTGGTGGTGCACCAATGTTTAATTCCTGATTAGGAGGGCTGTATGGTGGCAATGCAGGACTGTCCTTATGTTTTGGAGGTCTGCACTAGAGAATTTAAGGGTGCTAGAGAATCATATGAGAAAAAGACAAATTAATGGAATAAATGTGACAAAATGTTAGCAACGGGGAGATTTGGGTGAAGGGGACATGAGTTCTTTGTACTATTTTTGAAACTTTCCAATAAGTTCAAAACTATTTCAGCATTTTAAAAATTGGAAAAAAAAAACTCATGACTAAAGCAATTTTTTTATTTATAGTATAAAGGTTACAAAGGTATATATGTATTTATATATATAATGCCCTTAAGTTACAAATTTTCATTGTAATGTACAATGCTATATGTTGATGTGCAACTCAAGGGGAAGTGTTGTCTATGCATCTATATTTATAGAGTATACATAAAGCTTTTTTAAAATTAAGAACACAAATACTGCCCTGTTTTATGCCTTGAGTTTTTGATTTGGTATCCAGAAGATCTGAGACTTAAATTTCAAACAAGACTTAAAAAGAAGTCCTGTTTAAATACAGCATTCTAAAAAAGAAGGAAAAACCCCAGAACATCACAGACTTAAAAACATTATTCTAGTTTTCTATGTCTTTATACTTAAAAATGAAAGTAGTGTGGGAAAGAATCCATATACATGGGTATAATCAGAGTTTGCACAGATTAGCCAAAATAGGCCTTCAATAGGTAGTGGTTTTCTATATTATCTCCAAAAGACCTCAGGTTTGGTACCAAAAAGGACACAGATTTTTTGGGGCATCAAGGTCTTCTACTGATGCACTCATTCAATGGATTGTAAACATAATACTGGAGTCCTATAGTGGAGGGCAGAATCTGAAACCTGTTCCTACGACAAGGGCAGATTCGCTACAAAGTGAGATGAATTTCATCAAGAATGATGACTATGCCAAACCTGAAACTCAGTTTACATCATCATTTCCTCTCCTCCCCACCCAATTCTATTAATCCACAGAATAGAGGTGAAAAGACACAACTGACACCCACTTTAACAGGATCCAGAATTAAAAAAAAGTACAAAAAAACCCAAACCCAAAACCAAAACCAAAACCAAAACCCAGGACCCAGATAGAAGGAAAGCATTTCTTCCAACCTAGGAGGAACACACATTTATAATACTATGTGCTGGTTTTAATAATATACAATCATTAGCACCTGATTGTCAAAGGGTAGGTTAAAAGTAAAGACCAAGACCCTGAAGGCATGACCTAATTTTTGTGCACAACTCCAGGACAGTTGAAAACCAAGGGGAGGGCACCCATGTGATTCAGTTCCCTGTGCCATTTCAGTCGCTGATAGTTCAGGTACTTTCTGGGCATGACTGACGACGTTGCCTGAAAAGCTAACCCTAGACATAAATGGAAAGCAAGATGGATAGAAAGGGACTGTTACTGTGTGAAAATTACGGAAAACATTCAGTCAACTTTATTTTCTTTAGGTGCACTTTTCACTGAGTCCAAATGCCAGTGTGTCCTGGTATAAGTGAAATTTTGTTCATTTTATTTTTTTAATGCTAAAACGTTTTATTTAATTTTTTGGATTGAGTCGGGATCCCGCTGTGTTGCCCAGGCTGGTCTAGAATTCCTGGGCTAAAGTGATCCTCTCACCTTGGGCTGATTTTGTTAATTTTTAAACATCTTCATTTTGATCTATCATTAATGGACTCTGTCTACCATGTATATAAGGACTTTCAGCAAATGAAATGCTTAAATACTTTAAGTGTGGAAATGAATACAACAAAATTTAGAAATAAGGGACTGATAAAATATGCATTTAGTTTTGCTGTTATAGTAAAAGAAGCCATTTTAAAAAGACTTTCTCATTGATCCACTTTGGGCAATAAAACTTAATTTTTGTTGCTAATGATTTACCTTATAAAGGATACTGTATACTGTTCTCTGTTCTCTTTCCCAAACTAAAGTCTAATTTTCCATTAAAAAAAAATCATGCATGAGGAAAAGACCGGCCTACTTAAATGTGCTTGGAGTCCTTTCATATTGGCATAGATCAAAACCTGAGTATCCCTTCAAACATTTTCCAGTTTGCCAGATCCAGATAACACACTTGAACATAGACTTTGGTAAAAATATTAAGTGGTGAATTACTTAACTGCTGAATGACAAACAGATGGCATGGTGTGACTGAGAAATAATGGATTATGTGCTACTTGAGGGCAGAAACTTTCTTTTAGACCCTTCAGAATACCTGGTGTAGAATTATAATATTAATACATGTTTGTTAGGTCAAAGAACACATGAATACATTAGTTAGCTTTCCAGTTTCAAAGTTTGTGTCAATAGCATGGATGTAAGATTATTGCAAAAGGTACTTAGAGGACTCAGCAATTATAAATCTTTTATTTATTTATTTTTGAGATGAAGTCTCGCTCTGTTGCCCAGGCTGGAGTGCAATGGCACAATCTTGGCTCACTGGACCCTCGCTGGGTTCAAGCGAGTCTCCCACCTCAGCCTCCTGAGTGGCTGGGACTACAAGTGCCTGCCACCATGCCCGGCTAACTTTCTATATTTTTAGTAGAGATGGGGTTTCACAATGTTGGCCAGGCTGGTCTCAAACTCCTGACCTCAGGTAATCCGCCCACCTCAGCCTCCCAAAGTGCTGGGATTACAGGTGTGAGCCACCATACTCAGCCAGAAATTATAACTCTAACCAGGATTCTCAAACCTACAATATAATGAAGTATCATTTCTCTCTTACAGGTTTTGGTTTTAACCAATCTATTTTAAAAGGGGCAATTCAAAGATTATGGCTTATATGGTAGATTTCTCTTGACTATGATCAAATGTTCACTGGATAACAAGCAATAATTTGCAAAAGGCTTATTTATGCATTACATTAAATGTGGATCCTCTTCTAAAACTAGAATAAGCTTTTAGTTCAGTCACGCAATATGGGAAGAATAGAGGTGGCAAGAAATTATGCTCAAGTTTATGTTTTGAAACAAAAGAAATCTTGTTAAAAGATTCTTCTGAGTTATTATATAACAACCATTCTTCTAGCTGGCAGTTTAGTCAGAAAGATACAAAAAAACTAAAACCAAAACAAAAAACAGATGTGCTCTATGTGCCTATTTATTGTACCTTACCCTTAACTTGAAATTCTATCCTTTAAGAGAATGAATTTGTCACTCATCTGCCAGATGTTTGTTTTTTTAGAGAAAGGGTTTCAAATCAGCCACTTAAGTAGTCTATTACTAGTGTAAAATAAATTCTACTTAGCATCACAGCATAGGAATAACCATATTGCTCAAAAATACACAACCCTGATATATAGCATAATTATTTTAGAACTATCATCACACATTTATCGAGTGTCTATGTATCCAGCACAGTGAAAGATTTAGCTTAAAGGGTAGAGGGGGGCAGATGGCTACAATTGGTTTTTAAAGACAGTACATGGAAAGTCAGAGTAATTTTAGATTACCAAGCAATTAGAATAAGGGCACACAGAGGTAACAGTAGGATTTGGCAGATTCCTCTACTTTCATCTTCAGTGGGGTTAAAAAACAAAGCCACAATTTCAACTGAAATTTAACTGAAAGTGATTTCCAAACTCAAAGTCGAATATAATACCACTTGGTACTTAATGTCATACCTGACAGAGATATATAAAAAGAATGAATATGAATACAGTCAAATTCAACTTAAATTTTAAGCAGAATCCCACATTTAAGTAAGTCCCTTTTCATTACATAGATATTTGATCTGATCAGAACAATTTGCTTTGAGACCAAAAAGATCTGGCATTTTACTTATTCATTAGGGATTGGAAAAAGAAGATCTTTGGCTTTCTAACCAGCCATTTCATTCATGGCATCAACAGCCGATGGCAGCCACGTGGAAATGTATGCTGGATATTTGGATAGTTTAAATATGTACAAGCAATAGCTTATAACCAGTGAAAATAATAACATAATTCAGCATAAGTGTCCAAGATAAGATACAAAAAAAGCAGAAAAAGTGCTTGAATCTACAGGTCTTCCCTGAAAGTTTAAAAAATGTTTAACTCTTAAGCAGGTAGGGCTTTTAATAAAATTTGCATAGCAGCATACAAGATAATTTGCATTAAAATATATGAACAGAGATTCTTCCATGGCTTTGAAAACAAACATATATCCACATGCATATAAGTTAAGCAAGAAGACCTGGAGTTTCTCACAAAATTTAAAAAAATCTATTATAACCTTTTCTCACACTTTTGTCCATCAAAACCATTTACAGCAAATCCTGTTTCTAGGACAAACACAGCCTTGTCCAGATTCCACACAGCTTGAAATTTTTTTTTAAGCATAATTTCTGGGGCCACGTGCAGTGGCTCACATCTATAATCCCAGCACTTTGGGAAGCTGAGGCAGAAGTATTGCTTGAGCTCAAGAGTTCAAGACCACTCTGGGTAATATGGCGAAACCCTGTCTCTAAAAAAAAAAAAAAAAACACAAAACAAAAAACACAAAAATTAGCCAGGTGTGGTGGCACACACCTGTGGTCCCAGCTACTCAGGCGGCTGAGGTGAATGGTTCATTTGAGCCCAGAAGGTTGAGGCTGCAGTCAGCTATGATCATACCAGTGCACTCCAGCCTGGGTGACAGAGTGAGAACCTGTTTCAAAAAAAGAAAGAAAGGAAAAAAAGAAACAAATTCCATTTATCAGCTAAGTGCATTCAGTCAGCTGGAAAAAGCTTTGTTACCATTCAACTTAGTAGGATAAATTAGGAAAATAGTAATAATGTTAGGTTATTTGTTGTTTAGAAATATTTTTTACTTATAAAAATATAATAAATAATCCAATCTCTCCTGCCATGCAATAATTTTCAGCACAGAAGATAAAAACAGGCACTATCAGACCTTCTTTGGCCTAAAAAGTGCTAAAACATGGCTTTAAAATAGGTGGATGACATTTAAAGTAGTATTTTTGATTGCCTATATATGTTCCAGCATTTAACCTGAAACTCTTGTCTACTAGGAAGGTGAGTTACAACTATCTAATAAATACTGTATGAACATACATATGAAAACATATGAAGTATTTCTTCATATGAAACATTAGATACTAATTTCCAGGTAATATTTCATTTGATGACTTCAGGAAAGGACTTACGTTTTTCTTTTGTTCCTTTCCTTTTCTTTTTATGAAGAGAAAGGAGAGAAGTTTTAGGAGAAGAGGCGGGAGATGTTTCATATACCAATTGGCTGCTCCTAGGCATCTGTGTGGAATGTGGAGAAGCTGTCTAAGCCCCGGGTTTGGTGGGGGCACAGGAAGCAGTCCCTCTGAATGGGGAGTGGACATAATTCTGCAGTTCCTTTCCATTCTACACACTGGAACCCACCACATCTTCAACAATTTGCTTAATTCAAAATGAAAAAGAAATGAAAAGTGAGCTGGTTCTATAAAAAAGGTAGAATATTGAAAATGCCCATTTTTCATTATCATTTGAAAATAATTTGCCATACTTTGGCATCTAAATATAAATACATATTTATCATGGTGTCCCATTCATTACAGAGCACTTCATTTGTGGGCTGAAAATCCCAAAAACACATTTGATTGAAGAACAACCTTGGTTATCATGATTGGAGAGCTGTTAAGTGTGTAAGACAAGCAGCATAAGGGCTCTGGTTCTTGGGGCTGCTAGTGGACAAAGGAAACATCCCACACTTTCATTTCACACTAAGACTCAAAAGTCGTTATTAAGAACCCTACAGACCTCAGTGCTACACACATCAGTTTAACCTTGACCAAAATGAGTGAAATGAACACATGCCTTGCATTTCCTGCTCATATTTAAATCACACCTATTTTACATCTTCATATAACCTATGAGCAGGGTGGCTCAGAAGCTCCCCTGCAAATCTTAGTGGCTTAGCCTTTCACATTAACACAGAAAACCTCAACCACGTAGCTTTGCTGCTGAAGTCTGTAAACACATCATTCAACATCTCATATTAATAATGCTCTCATTGCATAGAGGCTTCACGACTGCTTACCTGAGGGTATTAATGTAGTGAAATTCTGATTCCAGGAATCATTGCTACACTTTCCAGACATTTTTATTCCTTCCCTGAAATGAAAATTTATCTTGGGGCCGTGCGTGGTGGCTCACACCTATAATCCCAGCACTTTGGGAGGCCGAGGCGGGTGGATCATGAGGTCAAGAGATCAAGACCATCCTGGTCAACATGGTGAAACCCCATCTCTACTAAAAATACAAAAATTAGCTGGGCATGGTGGTGCGCGCCTGTAGTCCCAGCTACTCAGGAGGCTGAGGCAGGAGAATTGCTTGAACCCAGGAGGCGGAGGTTGTGGTGAGCCAAGATCGTGCCATTGCACTCCAGCCTGGGTAACAACAGCGAAACTCTGTCTCAAAAAAAAAAAAAAAGAAAATTTATCTTGTACCAGGCGCAGTGGCTCACGCCTATAATCCCAGCACTTTGGGAGGCCAAGGCAGGTGGATTCCTTGAGGTTGGGAGTGCAAGACCACCCTGGCCAACATGGTGAAACTCTGCCTCTACTAAAAATACAAAAATTAGCCGAATGTGGTAGCAGGTGCCTGTAATCCCAACTATTCGGGAGGCTGAGGCAGGAGAATCACTTGAACCTGGGAGGTGGAGGTTGTAGTGAGTGAAGATCATGCCACTGCACTACAGCCTGGGTGACAGAGTGAGACTCCATCTCAAAAAAAAAAAGAACGTCCAAGCAATATTACCTGTTCTTTGAGATCCAGACCTGCGCTAATCTTGACATTTTATATTGATATTATACCATTTTAAATGTTTGCAGATATATACCTCCTTCAAAATTTGGAAAAACAAGCTCAGTGTGATTTTCTAATACTACAAAGTCAGCAATCTTATTGCTACTGTGTCCTAATAATGACATCTAGCAATGCTTAACCAAAAGCAGGCAGCTGTTCCACGGTCTCATCACCCTGCCCACTGTAGGGAGTGCTGTAAAGCCAACACTAAATCTGGAATGAGCAGTTGCTTGTCTGTGCCACTGCTGCCACAAAGGGCCAGGCCACGGCCGGGATGCTACATGGGCAGCCCAAAAAAACTCGACATGATGTTTGTGCTGAAGAGCTGGCTTCACCCACAAAGTCTACTCCTCAAGCAGGCTGGCTCTTTAGGATTTATCTTGCTCAAAGAGATCTGCCTACTGGAAGAGATGCCATTAAGGAAACCCACTTTGAAGACTATTCCTCCAAACTAGGATAGGTGATCTCCTTGAAATGGCAGTGATTTCCAGTTATTCAAATAGTGACTAATAAAGCTCCACTAACCCTAACCAAAGGCACATTTGGTAAGCAATTAAAAAAAATGGCTTAACCTAGGAAGAGGAATTTTATTTTAAAATAAATCTTATAATATCCCCTGGCTCCTACCGAAAATAAAATTGGAAAAACCTAAACCAAGCAAAACTTTTCTTTCAAAGCAGTGGCTTCCAACTTGCTTTTCAACTCAGTCACCGCTAGAAAGGAAGTGGAAGGCAAGACAAATCAAATTTTGCAAGTTCTAAGTCCTAGAGACAGCACTTAGAGTGGCAAAGCTTGGGATAAGGTGGGAAGTGACTGCCAGGCTGGGATAGAGGGAGAACCAGGGCTGATGGAAGAACCCTTTGGTGATACAACTCAAGGACTTCCTATGGTGGAAGGAGCTAGTGAGTATAGTAAATTCCAAGACATACAACCTATCTGGAATGTTCACGACGCAACAGGCTGCTGCAAGCTAGCACCTGGGAAGGGACAACTGTTCTGAACAACAGATCAAGGCTAAGCACAATGCAAATCCTACAGGAAGAAGAAAAACAAAACAATGCTTGGGTATTTGATTATGTCTAAAAGGAAAACAATGAGCCATTCTTTTTAGCAGGAAAAATAAACCTAATTACTCATAAACCGTATTATGAAACAAGAAAATCAACAGCTCCATTTTCGAGCGTTTTAGAGTCCTAGAATATCTGGCCAAGGTAGACTGTGAAAGGTAGGCTCTTCTTTAAACATGGTTATGGTTCAGCAGTGATTTGCAGGTCCTTGGGAAGGCACTGTGCTGAAGGAGAGAGCAAAGAGTTTTCTTTTGTGCTTTTTTTTTCCAAGGTGGAAATATTTCTTGTGACAGTCAAGGTCCTTTTCTGATTTTTTGTTGCTCATACAAGCAGTCCCATACGAGTGACTTTGGCCGATAAGAACGTGTGCAACACAAACACAATCGGCTTTGGACAAGAGTGCAGGTCCATGGTCTGTGGAGAAACGACATAACTATCACTACCATATACAGACAACTTAATGAACAAAAATGCAAATAAATTAACTTTTAACTTAGGTAAAGAATGTGCCAGAACTATGGAAAATCTTGGGAACTTAAAGCCATAGGCAAAAGTGCACTATGGAGAAAGGTGATTCCATGTCATAATACTGGTGTGAGGTTTCACATCCCCAATTAGGAGACAACTGGTGGTGTAATGGGTTCCCCCATGCCTGGTAGGAAAAACTAAAAAGTAGAGAATTTAAAATTTAAGGCCAGGTGTGGTGGCTCACACCTGTAATCCCAGCACTTTGGGAGGCCAAGGCGGGCAGATCACCTGAGGTTGGAAGTTCGAGATCAGCCTGACCAACATTGAGAAACCCCTTCTCTACTAAAAACACAAAATTAGCCAGGCATGGTGGTGCATGCCAGTAATCCCAGCTACTCGGGAGGCTGAGCCAGGAGACTCACTTGAACCAGGGAGGTGGAGGTTGCAGTGAGCAGAGATCGAACCATTGCCCTCTAGCCTGAGCAACAAGAGTGAAAGTCCGTCTCAAAAAAATTTTTTTTAATTAAAAATTTCATGGTTCTAAATGGAATGTCAGTCCATGATTTTGTACATAAGGGGTAATAAGTAATGAGAAGAAAAGAGAGAACATCTATTAGATACACACGTGTTTCAGAAACACTCTTACCAGTTCTCCCTCGGGACCACCAAAATCCAAGTACAGATTTCGGATGCCATCATCAGCAGACATTTTCAGCTTTTCAAAGGGGTAGCGGTACAGTATGCTGCTGGAGCCTCCATTTTCCCTGGAGATGGTGAACCCATTTTCATAGTGAATAGTAAGTCTCACCTCTTGGCCATTTAACATACAGCCTATAGAGGAAAAGCAAGAAACATTAGTTGTAGTTGCTATGTCAGTTATCAAGTGAAAAGGGATTCTTCTGACTTCAAAATATTATTTTCTTGAGAATGTGTGATGCCTAACCTATATGGAACCTTCTAAAGTGAGTTTTGTTTTGGTCACTGAGATGAGGCAGAAATGACCATAACATTCCTTGACATCGTTTAATTCCCACTGAACGCTTGTGCTGGCAAGTGTGTGTAGGCTGTGCAGGGCACTGGAGAAGTAAGACACAGTACCTGCTCTCAAGGACTTTGTAAACGCATTGGCATAAACAGAAAATCCCCAACTGTGTAAGGCAGAATGTACAGAACATAAGCAAACAACAAACTGAATGAGGCCAAAGTCAAGGAAAGATGTGGCTTCAGATAAGCCCTAAAGAATTGGTAAAACTGGGCCAGGTGCAGTGGCTCAACACCTGTAATCCCAGCAGTTTGGGAGGCCCAGGTGAGTGGATCACTTGAGGTCAGGAGTTTGAGACGAGCCTGCCCAACATGCCAAAAATCCCAGCTACTTGGGAGGGTGAGGCAGAATAATACCTTGAACTTGGGAGGCAGAGGTTGCAGTGAGCGCTGAAATCACGCCACTGCACTCCAGCCTGGGTGACAAGAGTGAGACTGTCTCGGAAAAAAAAAAAAAAAAAAGAATTGGTAAACTGGACAGGCAGGGAGGAAGAGGCAGAAGGACTGAACTGGGCAAGAAGGAACAACCAAAGGAACAAAGGCAGAGAGGCCTTTCAGGGGCTATGACATGGTTCGGTTGACATTTGGGATGAAGATAAAGATTATGTTCATCAAAGTTAAAGGCTTGACTCAGCAAAAGTCATACAGTCAATCCTATCAAAGACACAAATCAAAGGATACATCTGAATTGAGAGAACACAAACAATTTTGGTCATCAAGACTGGCAAATGCCCCAGGTATGGTGGCCCATGCCTATAATCCCAGCCCTCTGGGAGGCTAAGGCAGGAGGATCACTTGAGGCCAGTTGATGGAGACCAGCCTGGGCAACACGCAAGATCTCATTTCTACTAAAAATAAAAAATGTATCCAGGCATGGTGGCATGTTCCTATAGTCCCAGCTACTTGAGAGGCTGGGGTGGGAGGATCAATTGCGTCCAGGAGTTCAAGGCTGCAGTGAGCTATGATCATGCCACTGCCCTCTAGCCTGGGTGACAGAACAATCTCAAAAAAATTTTAAAAAGAGAAATTTAGAGATTCTTTTTTTTTTTTTTTGAGACTTAGTTTCCCTCTATCACCCAGGCTGGAGTGCAGTGGCATGATCTTGGCTCATTGCAACCTCAGTCTCCCAGGCTGAAGTGATTCTCCTCCCTCAGCCTGCCGATTAGCTGGGATTACATACGCACACCACCACAGCCTGCTAATATTTTTGCATTTTTAGTAGACGGGGTTTCACCATGTTGGCCACGTTGGTCTTTAACTCCTGACTGCAAGTGATCCACCCACCTTGGCCTCCCAAAGTGTGGGGATTACAGGTGTTAGCCATGACACTCGGCCTTGTTTTTTGAGACAGGTCTTGCTCTGTCGCCCAGAATGGAGTGCAGTGGCATAATCTTGATTGATTCCTGCCTATCAGGTTCAAGCAATTCTTGTGCCTCAGCCTCCCAAGTAGCTGGGATAACAGGTGGGCAACACCACACCCAGCTAATTTTTTGTGTTTTTTAGTAGAGACAGAGTTTCCACATATTGCCCAAGCTGGTCTCAAACTCCTGAGCTCAGGCAAAGCACCTGCCTTAGCCTCCCAAAGTGCTGACAGTACAGGTGTAAGCCACTGCAACTGACCTGAGAGATTTTTTTTTTTTTTTTTTGAGATAGAGACTCGTTCTTTCTCCCAGGCTGTGGAGTGCAGTGATGCAATCTCGGCTCACTGCAACCTCCACTTCCTGGGTTTAAACCATTCTTATGCCTCAGCCTGCTGAGTAGCTGGGATTACAGGTGTTCACCACCATGCCTGGCTAATTTTTGTGTTTTAAGAGACAGAGATTTCACCATGTTGGCCAGGCTGGTCTGGAACTCCTGACCTCAAGTGATCCACCCACCTCGGGCTCTCAAAGTGCTTGACCCCTGAGATTTCTTTGTCTGCTTTGGATTGTTTCCCCTGGAGAAGAAAAGGAAACCGCCGGGCACGGTGGTTCACGCCTGTAATCCCAGCACTTTGGGAGGCTGAGGTGGGTGAATCACCTGAGGTTGAGAGTTCAAGACCAGCCTGACCAACATGTAGAAACCCCACCTCTACTAAAAATACAAAATTAGCTAGGCGTGGTGGCACATGCCTGTAATCCCAGCTATTCAGGAGGCTGAGAAAGGAGAATTGCCTGAACCCTGGAGGAGAAGGTTGCAGTGAGCCGAGATCATGCTACTGCACTCCAGACCGGGCAACAAGAGCATCTTAAAAAAAAAAAAAAAAGAAAGAAAGAAAAGGAAACCAAATGTGACTGTGTGAATGAGTGTGTGTGCGCGTGTGTGTGTGTGTATTTTTTTAAAAAACAGAATCTTCAAACTTAATGTATTTAGGTTTAGATATTGAGTTTGTTTTAGTTTAAAATTTATAATTAGTACCAGGTTATCCTGAATGAGACTGTGATCTGGTCATATAAATGTGCCAAATAGAACCAATTAAAGTTTTTCCCTAAGCGTTCAGTAGATTACACAGGTGAGGCAACGGTGATTAAGTGTCTGACACCCCTCACCTGTACCTCAGAGGGTCTTAGGAGTAATGAACCAAAGGGAGATAAGGGAAATAAGCCTTTGACTCTGATTTAACATGTGTGTCTGTGTGTGTGTGTGTATGTGTATGTAGGCAGGCACCTGTGAGAAGTGGCATTTTTTTAAGTATAAATTCCCCTTCTAGTAAGAGGAGTGACCCTTTTTTGATGGGATAACATCTGGGGCTTATTAACAAAGATCAGAGCTGTCGCAGGTGGCTTATTATGTCTTGGTTCACTTAGAAAGCTTTTGGATGGCTATATATCCACTATCCACTCCAATTTATAAATAAGTCAGTAAAAAATTCAGTATGTTGATTTTGTTTTGGGAGGCCAAGGCGGGTGGATCACCTGAGGTTGGGAGTTCGAGACCAACCTGACCAACATGGAGAAATCCCATCTCTCCTAAAAAAAAAAAAAACAAAATTAGCCAGGTATGGTGGTGCATGCCTGTAATCTCAGCTACTCGGGAGGCTAAGACAGGAAAATTACTTAAACCTGGAAGGCAGAAGTTGCGGTGAGCCAAGATCACACTATTGCACTCCAGCCTGGGCAACAAGAACAAAACTCTGTCTCAAAAAAAAATTTCAAACAACTGGTTGGGCACAGTGGCTCATGCCTGTCATTCCAGCACTTTGGGAAGCTGAGGTGTAGGATCACTTGAAGCCAGGAGTTTAAGTCCAGACAACATAGTGGGATTTTATCTCTACCAAAATTACAAAAATTAGCCAGGCATGGTGGCATACACCTGTAGTCCCAGTTACTTGGGAAGCTTCGGTGGGAGGATCTCTTCAGCCTGGAAGGTCAAGGATGCAGTGAGCCATGTTCGTGCCTCTGCATTCCAGCCTGGGCAACAGAGTGAGACTGTCTCTAAAAAATAATAACATAAAATAAAAAAATTTGAACAACATAAAAGTGGCCTATAACTAACTGCAGCTGGATTTAGAGATGGAGAAAAAGCCAGGGATGTTTATAGCCCAAATTACTGAGCAGTAAAAAGGCACTGCCCACTTCAACAGCTAAGAGAGTGCTGTATATCTCCCTCCATCGTGTCCTCTCTTGCATCTGTCCCTCTTCCAGGCTAAGGCTAATCCCCTCACCTGTGCTTTGGATTGCATCTACCCCACCTTCCTAGAAACTATAAAAGAACTGATTACTCTTTCTACCTCGTGTTTTCAATACGTCCCTCTGAATCAGATCCCTCCCATTCACTTCTTTAAATGCTCAAGTCTCTCTCATTATTAAAAGAAGTGCCACTGGGCCAGGCGCAGTGGCTCATGCCTGTAATCTCAGCACTTTGGGAGGCCAAGATGTGGAGATCACCTGAGGTCAGGAGTTCGAGACCAGCCTGGCCAAAATGTGGAAGACCCGTCTCTACTAAAAATACAAAAATTAGCCAAGTGTGGTGGCATGCACCTGTAATCCCAGCTACTCAGAACGCTGAGGCAGGAGAATTGCTTGATCCCGGGAGGCGGAGGCTGCAGTGAGCTGACATCACGCCACTGCATTCCACAGCCTGGGTGACAGAGCAAAAATCCGTCTCAAAAAAAAAAAAAAAAAAAAAAAATTAGCTGAGCATGGTGGAGGTTGCAGTGAGCCATGATCACACTACTGCACTCCAGCCTGGTGAGAAAGTGAGACTCAGTCTTAAAAAAAAAAAAAAAAAAAAAAGAAATGCCACTACTCAACTGTTACCTTACCTCCAAGGACGACTACCTTTCTCCTCCTCTTCCTAACTTCTTTAAAGAACTATTTTACTCAGTTTGCCCATGCTTCACTTCAAATCCACTCCTCAGTCAAATCGTTATACATCTCTCCCCAAGGGCATCAGTTATCTCCATAATGCTAAATCCAACCTCCTTTTTCGGCCTGTTCTACTTGGTACTTGTACTACTAATTGTTGGTTATCAGCTTCTATTTCTCTATTTTTCTTTATAGGCAAACCCCAATTTTATTCAGATTTCTACTGTGTTCTAATGTGTTTCAGGGAAAGGTACTTCCAACTTATGGATAGACAGCTTCTGGGCCAATCAGAGCATGGGTTTCCCCTGGTGATTATTCTGGTTCAGAGTGGACATATGAGCCAAACTGGCTCAATCAGGTTAAAAAGATCTATGACTGAGAAGAGAAGACACCTCTCTGTCACTCTTGCTCTCTTTTATGTGAGATATTTATTTCATATTTATTCTAGTCTTAGTGGCCATGTCCTACTAATTTCAGCATAAACCATCCCAATTGATACAGTCA